GGCGTGGTGGGTGTTATATCGCCCCACCCTCCCTGGTAACGCCTCTGCTGCTCCCCCACCTGTTCAACACGGGTAGTATTTCACTAATTGAAGCAGCAGCAGCACACTGTTAACAATTTCGTAACGTCATTATTTTACATTAAGTTAGCATGGGTTCTTGATTAGACTTGAGTGCCGTTAAGTAACGACCTATTTTGCCGTTGTCTGGTGATATTGTAGTTGTAAGTGTAAGTGTGATACCGTTGGCTGAGCGACAGTGAAGCGCACTACTCCACTTGGCCGAATCTAGCTCAAAAATTGACCTTAAGTAAGACGAGCCTCTGGCCGAAAATTTCGTCCGTTTTGTTTTTGTAAAAGCGACTCAAATCGGTGGTGCCCGTGCTCAGAAAAGTCGAAACATAATCCTTCTGAGAGTTCTAGAAACCCTTGATCGCTGACAGATACGAAAAACTAGGTTTTTACATAAGAATCTGGCGAAGTTGGACCAGTGAATGGTCTCTCATTGCTACTTATTAATAACAAGCAAGAATGTCAAATAAAAATACCGGAACGATTTTTTTTTTACAGTGCAGCAGGCCTATGGAGGGGTAAAGGAATACACCGGACGCCACGCCCCGCCGACGGTGATATTCGCGTCTGCTACATGTTGCCACATCCTCCTCAACCAACTTCCCCTTCCGAAAAAAATGAAAATGTGTTCGCTGGGGTGTGCCGCCGCTGCTCACGCGGACCCCGTAATTAGGACCAGGACCGCGGGTCGAAACCGGACAAACCCGCGAGGGAGCGAGGGGTAGCCTTGCTGCGGTGGGGAGGCAACATCGCCGCGAAAACGACTGGACTGACAACGGACACATGACTAAAACAACTTCTGTCAAGTAATCTCTGATGACAAACCCTCTGCTGCTCCCTCCCCCACCCCCCACCCCCACCGGCCCGGGTGCAAAAATAGAGAATAAAATACGAGCATGAATTGCAATTGATTGTTTAAAAAAAATTACACCTGAAACGCTTACCACCCCACCAAACACTATAACCATAGCTTTGCGGTTGGCGAACGAAGAGAAAACGTGTGCAGTAACCCTGAGCACATCTCGATACGCCGAGGCAACAGGGGAAGACCATATTTGCCGCCCAGCTGCGGGCGGCCGTGTGTGGTGTGTCTTGAGGGAAACACCACCAAGAAGCTAGTACAATTCGGCTTGACACCAACCATGAAAAGTGCCGAAAAGTACATCTTGCGTACCCGGGGTGTTTCAGAGCGCACACCGTGAGTCTCGCGGGTTTGCCTAACTCTCTTCCCTGCCATAGCCCCTGCGACTCGAACGAGTGTGCAATCACCACTGTAGTGTCCGCTCTTGAAACAGTTGGTACGAGGTACGAGGTTCAAAAAATTTAAAACATTCTCAAGAAAATAATTCAAAAAATTATTTGAATAGTTAAAAACGGAAATGAAAACAAGAGCTAAACGGTAAAAAAAGGTAGTGTCTCCTAAAAAAATTCAAGAACGTACGCACACGCAAAAAAATCAAAAAGGAGCGTTGAAAGTAACATTTATGACAACTAGGTTTACGCCCAGAATATCGGAGTTGGTATACTCCCCCCCCCCCTTTCCTCAGGTGGGGCGTGACGCAGGCGCTGCCCTGCCGACGGTCTGCTGGAAGTCATGTGTGACCACTCAGCGCCGCGCGCACCCTCGCAGCTGACTGACTCCAGACGAGAAATTTGGATTGAACTAATAACGCACGGCCTTTTCTCTCGTTTGCCACGCAGCCGCCGCCGGTATGCGGCCTGGCGCGGCCTGGCTCGCGGACAGGAAACGAAACGGGACGTACAAGCGCGCGATGATAGACGGAGGTATGAAAGCATTTTATAGATTCAGTTAAGGAAACTCTTCACATGGCACGTTATTTCACATTTCATTTCGGTTCTGCTATAAACTAACACGGCGACATGGACATTCCATCGGCCTCTGCACTCACTAAATAGACGGAGCCGTGTCGCATGGACCGGCAATCCTGCTCATTAACGACGTACGACGTTAAAGAATCCATTGAAGTGGCGAAGCAATAAATCTTCGAGAATCTTCTTCGACTGAAATTTGTTCGTAACGTAATGCATAAAAGTCGAAACGAGGCCTTTGAAAATTTCTACCGCGTTTACAAATTGTTCACAACGTTGCCTAAATCCATTTCGTTCAGGGCTCTCCAAATTTTGAAACGGGAGAAGAAAAAACTCTAGAAGCAGAGGGAGACACCCAGACACCAAAAGTGGTAAGTTTGAGAAAAAAAAAAACAGCACGCATGGTATAAAACGGGATAAAATCATGCACTCTGCTGCTGATCAGTGCTTTCGAGCGCTACTCAGGCAAGCAAGCTTTGCGTCTGCTGTGGCGACACGCCAAGCCTCGAGCCGAGCGTCCTGCTCTGGCAACGGTGCAGCCGGTAGTAAGGAAGAGGCCACATCGCGCAAAGAGTGCAACAACACTCTAATGAAGAGCTTTAAAAAAGGGAGAAGCGTAATCGAAGTGTGACTTCCACATTAAACACCTTGTACCTTGCTTCAAGTAACAAGTTTAATTTGGCTTTTGGTGCTTGCGGAGGGGGGAGGGGAGGGGTACATACACAGAAACAGAAGATGAAGGAGAGGAGGTGGGGGGGAGGGGGAGACGGTTCCCCTGGACTGGAGGGGGCCACGGGCCGGGCCGAACCGTGCGCCTGAAAGAAGCCGGCGGTCCAACTCAGCCCGTCAGTCCAGTGCCGCTCGAGCCCCGCGCCCCGCGTGTGCTCCCGTCTCCACTCTCCCTCAGTTCAGTGATAGCAGCGCCGGCGTCCACCGCTCAGCACACCGCTCAGCACACCGCTCAGCGCAACCACTCAGCCGGTGAGCCACCAAAGCCCCCCTTGGGGTGTGCCTACAACAAAAGTGTTTGCGTTATGATGAGCCCCTGGTCGTGTCAAGGCGACGAATTTGCTGGAAATGCGAAGGTGAAAAAAAACAACGGAATCTTTGCCTTCAGTGGTGAGTCTTCGCTTTGACAACTAACTGATGGCTCTTCTGACGGCTAATTTCTTATATACCGGAAGCTATTGTGGTAAGCTATGACGCGAATTCGTCTATTACGAGATCCATTAGCTCCATGGCTAACCGTTTTTGTTTGGTCGCGTGTAAGAGTAAACGTTTCCCGAGTCGACGCCAACGATGGCGCCTGCAAAGCGATGGGTAGGCTAGCCCGCCGCGCAGCCCTGTGCGCACGGCGGCCCGCCCTAAGCGCCCAAAAATGCTAGGTCTCAGGCAAGTCAACGTTCCGCACCCCGCGTTCACTGTGGGAGTACTTACAGGCGCCTTCCCTCCCCGACCCAACCGTAAGGTGAACTTCACTCACTACATCAAAAAATAAGTGTAAGCCTTTCAAAAAAATCAGAAAAAACAAGGAAAAGCGAAAACTCATTTTAAAAAAAAGAAAACGATAAAATGCAGAAATATATTTAAAAAAACTGAGAAGAAAAAGGAAAATTAAGAAAAAATGAAAAATAGGTGTACACGCTTAAATATATAGTAAAGTACCCATCGCCCTAACGTCTCGCCCTGCGTGCAGGTCTCTCCCATAATGGCCAATTGGCCGAAAGCTCATTTTTGAAAGAAAGGTTGGGTTGTCATTGTAAATTAACATTGACTGCTTCTTTGGAAAAACTCCGTCATGAGATCACCATGAGGAACGCAAGTGGCTTTTAGTACTTTTTAAAGTATTTTTCCGTCGTATTTAAGGGGCGCGTATGGCAGCATTTGTAAACGGCCTTCCTAACATGGGGTTTCACGTCTGGGCCGAAAACGAGAGTACGACGGCAGCCCGGCGCCCTGCTCCGCCGGCTGCGAAAGGTCAGCGCCTTTGGTCATTACAATGCCCCGGCCCCGGGAGCACAAGTGGAGACGTTCAACAGCGGGGGGCAGGGAGGAGAGGACAGACAGACAGACAGACAGACAGACAGACAGACAGACAGACAGGCGTGTGTTTGAAGGTGCAATAAGCAGCGCGGTGCAGTGAATGGCGTTCTGCGTGCTCCACTATTTGCGTGGCGCGGCTGCTGTGTGCCCGACCCGTTGGCATTGCCGCCCCTACCCGTTTGTGGCGCGGCCACCACCGACGGTTACCTCCAGCAGGCCTGCAGTGACAAGCCCAGCGGCTTTTGAAAATCAATGCTCCTAAATCAATGCTCCTAAACCGTTTTTCTTCAACACTGCTAATGGTGCTGAAATAAGTTGAAACTTGGTGTCCAGTTGTACTTTCGACCACATGGAACGATTAAGGGAACGTCGAGTTCGACGATTTCCACCTTGATAGTCGAGCTTCAGAACTACGGCCTCATCCTTTTCTTCGTCGTACAAAAACAAAAACAACGATGACTCAGAATACCCACCCCCCTGTATTCTATAGTATTTTTCTCCAGGACGTGCTCAGGGATTTGACAGCGCGCTGTTTGTTAGCCGGCAGAGGCGAGGGGAATCCCCCATCGGAAAAAATCTGGCGGTAGGCTACTCACCACAATGTCTCGACAACAGCCGGGTCCCTCGTATTCTTCCCTGCGACTTATTGGAGAGGAGACGATCTCGAACTTATGTGTTCGCGGTGTGAGCGGCACTGTTAGAAAAACCTGCGGTGAATATCATCTACGGTACTCCCCGTACGCCCCGTTCGCCCCGTACGCTCCCAATTTCGTCATCAGGTCCGCTACCGTATTTTTGGATTACGGTCCACTCATCACGGGATGAACCACCAAAACTTCGCAAACTGTCATATTGGTCAGTACACGGGACAGACCGTAGGTAAACTGTACTTTCTGATGGCAGTTTTAACAGTTGAGAGTAGCACCCTGCCCTGCGTGTGGTGTGCATGTGGCTCTCCTCCAGTGTACAGTTGGCTCTCCCTGCTCGACACACGAAAGCTGTATTTAGCCAAGGCAAGGAGAGTTAATCCCGAAAGCGAAACGCGTCAGCCCACAGCGAAAGCCGAAAGCGGAAGAATCTAGAGGCGGAGGTAGTGGATTCGAGCGCCCACGGCGGAGCCCTGCTTGGCTACATTCGGCACCAGATTTCTCGGTCTCGGCTTTCGCCTTGGGCTGTGAAAAAATGAAGGCGAAAAATGAAATTGAGCGTCAATAGGAGCCGATGCCTATTTGTCAGGGAGGCGATGGGTAAAAAACTAGTAAAGTCGACGTCGTTTGCATTATTGTGTCGTTGGCGCGCCTGACCCCGAAGGCCGCAGCTCAAGTACACGTATTAATCATTGCGCCAACTTACGATTTTTTTTTGTGTTGTGCATTCTTTTTTCCCGATTCTTGCGCAGGGTCGAGCGCGTGCGCGCCGAACCCAGTAGCGCCAGCGCCGCGCACAGCCGGGGATCAAAGGGTAACAACGAGGCAACCATTACCCTCGGTACAAATCGCTATCGCAGTGGGATTGTGTTGCCTGTGATCGTGGCGTACTTCACGACAGTGTCGGTGGTGGTGGAATTGCAATAGGAGGGCGAGTTTTCGCCGAGAACCAATCCAGAATGTTTTCGACAAACACGGGCAAAATCCACCTCATACCCCTTTAACTGCGACCTACCTTACCAGGTGGCTGACTCACGTCGCGCAGTTTGGCAGGCGTGCGTGCAGGTTTGCCCAGCCGTGGCCTTATGGTCCCGTGCGAGTAGGCAACCCCCCCTCACGGCGTGAGTCAGCTACCTGGTACATCAATCACTATCACACTGGAATAACCAAGGTAAGACTCGAAGAGTTTTAAAGCCTTTACAAAGGCATTATAAGAAGAATACAAGGCATTAAAACTGCCGAAAGGTGCTAAATTTTAATGCCTTTGGACACTTTTGAGCCTTTACAAAGTGCCGTGATTCCTACGTTTGTTTTTCCAGTGCACTTCTGGGTCCAGAATGATCACAAACGTAGTGCAGAGAACGTAACCCCTCCTCGACCCTCTCTCTATCTCCCACTAGCGTCACTGCAACCCGCAGCAGGCGGCCCACTTCATTTGTTGCTAGCTAATTGCGTCCACAGGTTCCCAGGTTCGCGCCGCCCCCGAATTGTTAGCCGGAGCTGTTTTCTCCAGCTCGCAGTGCAGTGGTCGGGGCTAGAACAAAGGGGCGGCGCTCTGCCCTTGGCTGGTGACACTGCGACACTTGGCGGCGCCTCTCAAAAGGCGGCCGCGCGTTTTCGCACGGGCGGCGCGCGGGAGGAAAAAGAATGAAGAATTAGAACGACGGGAGTGTGCGGGGTGGGCGGCCAAACACGCGGTCCCGCTCCTTCGTCCGAGAAGGGCCCCAGGAAGGCGGGCGGCTCTCCAGAGCTCTTCCTGCAGCCGCCCCCACGCGAGTGGGAAGGGGGAGAAGGAGTGACAAAAAAAAAATTGCTAATTATCATGACGGGCACCGTAGTGGATGTTCTCGGTCATCAGGTTCGCGGGCTGGCCGCTGAGAGGCTTTTGCAATTTGGAGAGGGGCCCCAAGGGCCTGGAGCCCGCCTGGAGCCAACCTGGAGCCAACCTGGAGCCAACCTGGAGCCCGCCTCGAGCCCGCTTCGAGCCCACCTTGATTCTGCAGGCCATTGTCATTACGATCCACGGCCTCCTCCCCCCATCTCGGACTTCCATTAGCCTTTCTGCGAGCCGCTTGTTTGATTACGCCGAAATATTTCTCTCCCTTTTTTTTTATCGCGCGGTGCAGATTCATCAGTCAGGGCGAGTGGAGGTGCCCTACAATGAGGAGCAGAGGAACATTCCGCTCGGGCTCCAGCCACCTCATCCACCCCGACGGCGGGCTCCACGCCGAGCACAATACAGATTGTTTGGCTCGTTGTTGGTCACTGCCCCCCCCCCCACTTC